GACCCCCCCACTAATTAACAGAATAGTTTTTTGTCTTTTGGTTAGTTTTCTTTTTCTCTTATTTGAGTTCATTGGTAATTCCTTTTTTGTTAATTTTTTTTCTAGTTATAATAATACTATTTTTTATTTATAAAACAAAAAAGAACAAAAATTAATATAATGGATAATGAATTATTGTGAAAAGAATTCAGTTTAGATAAAATTGATTTCACTTGAAACCTTTTTTTTCAGCAAGAGACTAAAAAAGATTATTTTTTTCCTTTGCTTGCTAAATTGGAAAAGGAATATCAAAATTATAAATGTTGACCCAAAAAAGAAAATATTTTTCGCCTTTTTCGGGAAATTTCGGTAACGCAAATAAAAGTAGTAATTTTAGGTCAAGACCCTTATCATTTGCCGGGAGTGGCAGATGGAATTGCGTTTAGCACCCAAAAAGAAAAATTTATTCCGGCCAGTTTAAGAAATATTTTTTTAGAGTTTAGCAGAGACCTAAAATGTGTTCCTCCGACCAAGGGCGATTTGCTTCCCTGAGTTAAAGAAGGAGTTTTTTTAGTTAATACGGCTCTGACGGTTAGAGACGGTCAAGCCCTTTCCCATATGGATTGGTGAAAGGAGTTTACTTATTCTTTGCTAACTTACTTAAAAAAATGCAATGAAAAGTTAATTTGAATATTTTGAGGACAAAAAGCCCGAAAAAATGGTGAAGAATGTGGCATTAGTGAAGTTAATGATTATGTATTGATTAGCACCCACCCCTCCCCTTACAGTGCCGAAAGTAAGGGAAGGGACCAAAAAGGTTATTTCATCGGCTCTCGCCCTTTTTCGAGAACTAACCGGTTATTATCCGAATTAGGTAAAGAACCGATTAATTGATTATCTATCTTAAAAGTTAAGTTTTTTTAACTTTTTGTTTGCTTTTTAAGACTACTCCTACTACTAAGCCTAAGACTAAGGCGGCAGCGATGGCTAGTCCTATTCCCGCTGCCTTGCTGTCCGAATTAGCTGGGGCGAGCGAATTAGGACTGTTTGCCCCTAAGATACTATTGTTATTTAATTTGGTTTAGTGGTTTTTTCTTGTTTAATTTTTAAATAATCTGGATATGAATCAGCAACATTTTTAAGTTGATAAAGCATTAAACTCAGGCATAATTGGCATTCAAAATTATCATTTGAAAGATAAATATTTATCTCGGTCGGTAAGTAAGAAATTTTACAATCGTTTTTATAATGAATTTGGAGAAAATTAACCGTGCCATTAGTAATCGCAGAGATAGCGGCACACACAATATCTTGACCTTTTTCAGCATAATTGGCATGGTCTTTAATAATAAGATATTTAAAATTATTTTTTGGGTCTAATTTATAGACAATTTTAGTCATAGGTTAAATTAATCAACTTTGTCTAAATAACGTTTTAGTATTTGTATATCAATTGGGCTAATCCCCCCTATTCGTCTGGCTTGTCCCAGTGAAATTGGCTTGATTTTAGTTAATTTTTCTTGGGCTTCTTTGGTTAAATTATTAATTTTTGCATAATTAACCTCCCCTGGGATTTTTTTAGCCTCGTATTTATTTAATTTTTCGGCTTCCTTTAATTGATTTTCAAGTTGCTCTTTGTATTTAATGTTGGCTTCTAATTCTCTTTGTTCTTCTCAATTTAAGTTTTTTATTTTCGGTATTCAAGGTTGAAATTCCTTTAACGAAATTTTATTATTTTTTAGTAAATCATATCCATTTATTAGATTTACATTTTTTCACTGACTAGTATCTAAGTGGAGAAAATTTTGAGTCAGATTGCGGTCAATTTTAAAAGTTAATTTTTGGAGTTCTTGACTAATTTTTTTTTGGGTTTTTTTATTTTTTTGAAAAACTGTTCATTCTTTGTCGCTTAACAGCCCTAGTTGGCGACGATTAATCGGCCAAAGGCGGGTATAAACATTATCGTGCCTTAATAATAAACGATGCTCGGCCAAAGAAGTTAAAAGTCGGTAAGGGTCAGTAATTTCCTTGGTAGTTAAATCATCAATCATTACACCAATATAAGCCTCGCTTCTTTTTAAAACTAACGGTTTTCGCTTTTTTAGTTTCCGGCTAGCATTAATTCCGGCCATTAGTCCTTGGGCGGCGGCTTCCTCATAACCAGTAGTTCCATTAATTTGTCCGGCCACAAATAAGTTAATGACTAGTTTAGTTTCTAAACTATTTTTTAGTTGGGTGGCATCTATTTTATCATATCCAATGGCTTTACCTCATTCTTGGACTTGAACTTTTTCAAATCCGGGCAGGGTCAACAAAATCTTTTTTTGAACTTCGGCTGGTAAAGAAGTGGAAAGCCCTTGCAAATAGACCGATTTTTCTTCCTTAGTGCCTTCTATTTGGGATTGCGGTTCCACAAAAATTTGATGGGTTTTCTTATCGGCAAAGTAATGAATTTTGTGTTCGATACTAGGACAACGACGCGGTCCATCCCCAATACTTTCTCCGCTAAAAATTGGAGATAAATGGAGATTTTTTTGAATAATTTGATGGGTTTTCTCATTAGTATGAAGCAAATAACAAGGCAATTGCTGAGTGAAAGTTAATAATTGAGAATAATCACTTCGGGAGGAAAAGCGTAAAGGTAAATTAGTGCCCGGTTCTAATTTGAACTGGGTATAGTCAATACTATTTTTCAAAATTCGGGGACTGGTGCCAGTTTTAAAGCGATTTAATCTAAAACCTATTTCCTTTAACTGCTGAGAAATATTATTGACTACTTCTTTTTCGCCAGTCGCTCCTTCAACTTTGCTTTCTTGACCCTGGTAAATAATTGGTCGAAGATAAGTGCCAGTAGTTAAAATTACTATTTTGGCGGAAAAAATTTCACCATTATCCAATTCCACTCCTTTTGCTTTTTTTTTTGTAATTAACAAGTTTTTGACAGCTCCTTCAATCACAGTCAAATTTTTTTGTTCATTGACTACCTTTTGCATATAACGGGCATAGGCTACTTTGTCAGATTGAACGCGAAGGGCTTGCACCGCTAACCCATTTGAAGTATTTAATAACTTAAATTGGAGAGCGGTTGCGTCTGCTGCTTTTCCCATTTCTCCCCCCAAAGCATCAATTTCTCGCACTACTATTCCCTTAGCTACCCCTCCCACTGAGGGATTACAAGGCATCAGGCCAATTTTATTTTTGCTTAGAGTAATTAAAACCACTCGGTGTCCTAGTTTGGCACTAATTAAAGAAGCTTCGATACCGGCATGACCTCCGCCGATTACTATAATATCAAATTTTCTGGAATTACTTTTATTCATAATAATAAATTTTAAAAAAGTTTTGTTGGTTGAATTAATTATGCTGGTTTGAGCGATAGTGGAAAGAATAATTAACCTTTTTTTCCTTTATTCCTGTGATAATTAGAAGTTTAGCACGTTTTTATTTCCCTGATTACTATCCAAATTTTCTATAACTTAATTTTACATGTAGTTTTGGCATGAAGTTCGATATGAAAGTGTAAAATAAGTATATAACATGAACCAACAAATTCAGCAAAAAAAAAAAAAAAAAACAATCATCTCTTTCATGACTGAGGAAATAACCAAGAAATAAATATGATAGATGATAACAAAGGCAGCGAGAGAAAAAATAAACGCTTAATCTGAATAATACTTGGAATAGTCTTAACCCTTGGGTTAGCCTCCGGAATTTACTTTTGGGTTAGCAAAGGTTCGGAAACCGATATTCCTTCTAATATCCATTATTTACCTTCGGAAGAAGAAGCCCGAACTAAAATAAATCAAATTAAATCTGCTAAAAATCTCGATGAAGCCCAAGCTACCATTGAATTCTTAACTTCCTATGTTCCGGAAATTAAATGATGGGAAATTGATTCTTTGTCCGAGTTAGACCAAAAAATAAAACTAGTTAATAATAAGTTTAGCCTCAAACCTTTTAAAGTAGTTCCAGAAGTTAATGAGTTTAACCGAGAAGTAGAAGGTAATTTCGGCAAAAGAGGTTTTGCCCTTCTAACTTCCATTATTCCCCGAGAAAGTAATGGAAGTATTGACTGAAAAGGTTTAGACTTCCAAACTTATTTCAAAACTGTTCTGGAACCCTTAATTAAACAGTGTAAATTTAAACCTACTTTTGCTACTCAAAATAATTATCAGGAATTAGGAAGGAAAATAACTCAGGAAATAAATTCAGAATTATCTAATATTTGTTCTGGTTTTTCTTCTCTCTCTTCGGTTAGCAAACTTAACCAATTAATTAACAATTTTTTAAGTAAATATTTACAAGGTAGTATTTATTCTGAGTTTATTCATGATGAATTAGGGCAACAGTTAGGAATTAGTAATCATCAAAAATTTGATGGACAAAAAACTGGCAATAAATCGTTTAATAGTGGGTGAAATATTATTTTAAATGAGTTTGCTTTCTTACCTGGTAATACAGGATAAAAATAATCAAAAAATATATGAAATTTAATAAATGGTGAGGTCTTTTAGTAGGCTTAATAATAAGTATAGTTGTCGGAGTTCTAATAGGGGGATATACCAAAGGTGATAATGTAGCAGTAAAGAATTTAGTTGGTTTAGGAATAATCTTAGTCGGTTTTATTATTGGCTGAGTATGAGAAAGTTCCCGAAAAGAAAGCAAAGGAGAACAATAGGAAAGTTAAAAGGTTCGAAGTTTTTTTTATAAAAATTAAAATTACTTAATTCTTTCCAAAACTCGCATTTTGGCACTATGAGCCCGATAGTTTTTTTTTATTTCTGTCGGGTCGGGAACCGAAGGTTTTTTACAAATTAGTTGAAAATCCTCCACCGCATTATACTCTTTAAATGTCTGCTTAACAATTCTGTCTTCAAGGGAATGATAACTGATAACCACCATTTTTCCGCCGGGGGCAAGGTGTTTGACCGCAATTTCTAAGGCATGGGTCAAGTTTTCAAGTTCTCTATTAAGGTATATTCTTAGGGCTTGGAATGCTTTGCGTGCAGGATGTTTATTTCCTTTTTTAGGAAAACAAGAAGCAATTATTCCTACTAGTTGCTGAGTATTAATAATTCTTTCTTGTTGGCGTCAATAACAAATTTTTCGAGCAATAACACGGGCTTTTCTTTCCTCGCCGTAATGGTAAAAAATGTCGGCTAATTTTTCCTGGGAATAATTATTAATAATTTCTTCGACTTGTAATTTGTTTTCTTGGTTCATTCTCATATCCAAAGGAGAGTTTAACCGATAACTAAACCCCCTGCTTTCAGCATCTAACTGGCTAGATGAAAGACCGAGGTCAAATAAAAAACCATCTATTTCTTTAATTTTTAAACTTTCTAAATGCTTTTCTAGATTAGCAAAATTATCCGAAATTAACTGAAATTGAGGAGAGTTGAATATTTCCTTATTTTTAACTATTTCTTGGGCTGATTTGTCTCATTCGAAAGCAATTAGTTTACCATTTTTTAACTTTGTTAATATATTTTGGGAGTGTCCGCCGGTTCCAAAGGTGCAATCAATATAAATCCCATTTTCTTTTATTTTCAGGTAGTTTAATGCCTCATTTAGCATTACTGGCTTATGTAATTCAATCATTATACTCAAAACTAATCGAATTCAATACTACTTATATTTTAATTCTTGTCATAATTCATTACCACGAACTAGACACGAAGCATACATTTTGCAATGTTGCTTCCGGTATTACAACTAAAATTAGAACATTTATACCTTTTCATAAATATATTTTACTTACTTTGGGGTTTTTTGTTGAAAACTACCCGAATTTATATTAAATCATTCTTATTGTTGAACGAAAATTAGTTAATACCCTAAAAAATAACTTATAGAGAATTTTGAGCCTTGTTAACTCAATGGCAGAGCATTTGACTCTTAATCAAGAGGTTGGAGGTTCGAATCCTCTACAAGGCACCAAACCGTAATAAAATTAAGGTGTTTTATTGGAATTAACTAGCTTTATACAGCATAATTTTATTAAGTCCCCATAAATGAATATGAATAAAAAAACTAATTTCACCATTAATTACGTTCGACAAAGTTGATTAGATATTTTTCAACAAAAAGGTTATTATTTATTAGAACCGACTTCCCTCATTCCTCAAAATGACCTTTCTTTGTTGTGGATTAATTCCGGAGTGGCTGCTTTAAAAAAATATTTTAATAATCCGGCTCTGGCTCCGGCTCGCGATTTAGTAAATTGTCAAAGAGTAATTCGTACTGATGATTTGGCGAATATCAACGCTCAATCTTATCACCAAACTTTATTTGAAATGTTGGGTATTTTCTCGATTGGCAGCAATTTTAAAAAGGAAGTTATCCCAATTATTTGGGAATGGCTCACTTCTCCACAATGGCTAAACATAAACTCCCAAAACCTTTTTATTACGGTATGAGAAAATGATAAAATTAGTTACGAAGCATGAAAAAAACAAGGAATAAAAGATACTCATATTCTTTTTGGCACCAAAAAGACTAATTTTTGAGATATGGGTGATGGACCTTGCGGACCAAATACCGAGATATATTTTGATTTTCAAGACAAAAAAGAATTACCAAAAAATATAGAAGAATTGGATAACAAAAGATTTATTGAAATTTGTAATATTGTTTTTCCGGAATTTTACCACCACGGCAAAGAATATTTACCCTTAGCCCAAAAGTGCGTTGATACCGGAGCCGGATTAGAAAGAATTGCGATGGTTCTCCAAAGAAAAAAAAATACTTTTGAAATTGATTTATGAGAACCAGTTATTAAACTGATAGAAAGTTATTGTCAAAAAAGTGAAAAATAATCACCAAAAATAAGTAATTATTACCCTATTAGAATTAAATGCCAGTAATTTAAAACTTAAATTACTTGAAAACAAAGAGTTTGAAGAAAATAACTCTGACGCTAATTTCGCATATTGTAATAATTAGTAAACATTATATTTTTTTGCCAGCGAACCCCTTGAAATTTACAAAAAGGGTAGGAATTATTTTTTTTAAATGCTCTAAGGATATTAAAAACTTTTTATATGAAACTTCAAATCGACTGAACCAAATTAAAAAATTTTCTTTGATGGACAATTGGTTGATATTATGATGGTTTATCCCAGCCGGTTAAATGTCGAATTATCAAAAAAAACGAAAAATCGCTTCTCGGAAAAGCCTATTATTTTTGTGATTTAAGTGGTTGAAAAATAAAAAGTCCTCTCGAAGGAGTAATTAACAAAATCTATCCGAACTATGCCCTCCAAATTACTAATAAAAAAGGACTCCAAATATTACTTGATATTCAGGTTGATAAAGAAAATCCAATGCCGCTTGACAAAGTATTTCGATGCGAAATAGAAGAAGGACAAAAAGTTAGTCCCAAAACTACTCTTTTTATTGTCTACCTAGAAGAACAAGTTATCAGCGTTATTGTCTATATCCCCTGACAGCCTGAAATTATCGGACAAATCGGAAAACTAGAAAAAGGTGAAAAAAATTGCTTTGTCAAAATTCACTATCGTAATCCTTACTCTAAATTAAACTTAAAAAAACACGGAAAATATTAATTTTCTTTTAGAAAACAATCGATTTAGTTTTCGAAAAACAAGCAAATTTCAAACTGGCAAAGTAAAAAATGCTAACCTTGGTCTAATTTTATTAGTTTTTTCGGCAAATAGTATTTATCCATTATCTCTTGAATAACAGCTTTTTTTATAGTTGGTGAATAGTTATCCTCATTCCGAGCAAATTCAATAAGTACATCCAATATTTTCAAAGAATAATCCGACACTTGAAACCGATTAAAAATTATTCCTTCGCCGGTACTTCATAAAAGATAAATATTTTTACCGGTACACAAATATTGAATAAGTAATTGAATTTCAAAAATTAGCAAAGCCAACGGACTATCATTTGCCTTAATATTGCTAGTTTTCAATTCTATAATGTAATCTTGAAATTCCAAATCAAGATAGGTTGCTAGTAATTCACCTTTATAAAAAACGTAATGCAATTTTTCTTTGCCTAAAAAACCATCAAATTCTAAGGTTTTGCTTTTTTTGAGAAAATTAATTGTTTCACGAACTTTCTGTTCTAACTTGCTTAAATTTTTCGCTACCACTACTGAATCAACAAAAGGAGGGTGATTGCCAGTCTGAATAAAATCTTGAATAATTTCGTGAAAAATTTTGCCTCTCTCTGCCGCTTTTAAAAGAATATATTTGGGTATTTCTTTGTATTCCTCTTCGCGTAAAAAGCGAGTGAGGGTGCTAGCACTGAGGGCTTTTTTGTCTTTATAATGAGGTCATAAAATACCTGTTTCTAGGCGTAATATTTGAATTTCTTCCTTGTCCTTATTCATACTCTTATATAATACTTTTTAGATAATTTTTTAGTTTATAAAGATATTAATCTTTTTGGATAACTATTTTCAAAGCCGAAATCAAACTGAATTCTACCCCGCCGTCTTTTAACATTCTTTTAGCGGCAATCACTTCTTCTTTTTCATTATATTTATCATTAGAATAGAAAATTTTTTTAATCCCGGCTTGGATAATTAATTTAGCACATTCACAACAAGGAAAAAGGGTAGTATAAAGAGAAAAGCCATGACAGTCTTGGCGAGCATGAATTATGGCATTCGCCTCCGCGTGAACCACATAAGGATATTTAGTTTCTAATCAATTTTGTTTATCATTTTCTCAGGGATAATTGTCATCATTACAGCCCCATGGCAGACCATTATAGCCGGTAGCAATTATTTCTTTGTTTTTGTTAACTATCACTACTCCTACTTGGGTATTAGGGTCTTTACTGCGGAAAGCACAAACTTGGGCGATAGTAATGAAATATTCTGCTCAGGTTAAATAATTCTTTTTTTTGGGCATAATTGAAAACAAATCAACAAATTTTTGAGAAATTAACTTAGCGAAAGAGGATAATCGATTAAGAAATCATTATTTTTTTCTCTATTTTCGCTCAACTAGTCAATAATAAATATTTTTACTAAAATAAGTTTATATTACTCTCAAACTCCGACATTTAATTCGCACATTATAATAATTCTTTTTTTTATTAGTTTAAATTAGAAATACAGACTTAAAATTGTAGAAAACTAGAATGATGCTAAAATTATATATATGTTATGCCTACTACCAATCAATTAATTAACAATCCGCGAAAACCTAAGGTTAATAAAACAAAATCTTCGGCTTTAAAAACTAGTTATAACTCCCTTAAAAAGATTCATTTTCCGGTTAATCGCCCTCAGATTAGTGGAATTTGTAAAAAAGTAGGGACGTTAGGTCCAAAGAAACCCAATTCAGCCAACCGAGCCTATGCTCGGGTGCTTTTAAAAAACAAAAAAGAAATCACGGTTCACATACCGGGAGAAAAACACAATTTACAAGAATATTCTTTGGTCTTAATCAGTGGAGGCGGAGCGCAAGATTTACCGGGAGTAAAGTACTCGGTTATTCGGGGATGAAAAAAGGGTGATTGTAAAGGAGTAGAAGGACGCAAACAAGGCCGTTCTTTGTATGGAACCAAGAAAAAATAATTAACCTTATCGGAGAGAATAAAAGTAGGGTTTTTAAAAACCGAAGATAAAAATTGGTGAAAAACAAAAATTTTTAGATAGAAATTAACGGCACTGAAAACCACTAATTTTTTAGCGGAAAAACTCAAAATCAAAAATTTTGAAGGCATAAAAATACAAAATAATAATAAGGAGTGATGACAGAGTGGTCGAATGTACCTCTTTGCTAAAGAGGCGGTTTTCAACCCGCAGGTTCGAATCCTGCTCACTCCGCCATTATAAAGATAAAAAAAAGACTAAATTAAACCTACCTTTGATTAATTTAAAAGAAATATAACATTTTTTATAATTCTTTCCGTTTTTTCAATAATAATAATTACTAGGTAATTATAACCAGTAGCAGAAAAGGAAATTAAATTTGAAAAATGTGATAGTGTGGGACAAAATATTAAGTTTAGCAAAATAGTAGCAAAAAATGATAAAGTGAGAGGTAATTTAGCACCCCCCCCCCCCCCTTTTTCTACTTTTCTTATATATAAAAAGATAATATGGTACAAGATTTAACGCTTACAATTAAGGGAGGAAACTCATTAATTATTGAAACAAGTCAAAAAACAGGTAAACCAAGAACACTTATTTTTGAGGCAGAGGTAGAACCAGGACAGGAAATTATTGCCACGAATTCTGGTGAAAAAAAAGAGATTAAATGATTGCAGGTTAATTTTCTAACTTTAAAAAAGCCCGAAGCGGGTAAACTTGGTTATGGCGGGGTTGGAGAAATTGATATCGGAAATTATGAAGAGTTTGGAAAACCTACAAATATAGGAATGCGGTTTACTATTAAAGGTATCAAACATTTCATATGAAATGATGGAAATCTTTTTATTACAAGAAATGCATTTCACAATATAACCATTGATGAATTACCGAGTTTAAAATTGAATAATAATTACCAAGATAGAAGCGGAGAAGTAGATGGTGCCGATTTTGCTAGGTTGGTGGAATTATCTGAACAAGTAAACAAAGAAGTGAGCAACAATGTTCACCTTCACAATTTTGCCCAAACCATTACTTCTGTCTATTCGATGGGACAGTATGGAGAATTAATGGACTGAACCGAACAAAACATAATCCAAAATAAAATTGAATTTCCTGATATAAACGACTATCATTGAATGACCGATTTTTTACAAAAAAGTGTTATGGTGCCAGACAATTCAAGGAAAAATGATGCAATTTTCCTGAATAGCAGAAAAATTTTACTAAAGAGATTTTATGAAAGAGCAACCAAACTTATCCAAAAAGCCCAAACGTTAGTTCCTAAAATTGAAGCAAAAATAAAAGAATGAAAAGAAAATGGCGGAATGACTGATAATGAGTATAATATTAAAATTGAAGAGTTTAAGGAAAAAGCACCAAAAGTTAATCAATGATATAATAATTTAAGCCCAGAAGATAAAGAAAAATTCAAAAAGTGGATTAATGATAAAGTTAACGGAGTTTCGGCTAGTGATATTTTAGAAGAAGCCCCGCCCTTGAAAATAATAAGTGGAGATATTAATGATTATTCTCGTCCAGATTTGAATACTGAAAAAAAAAAAAAAAAAGTTGCGCTCGGAAAGTTAATGAAAATATTAGACCGCAAGGTAGAAGTGATAGGTTTAATTGAGGAGTTTGATAATTCCCAAAAAATTTGTCCGCAATGTGGTAAACAATTTCCGACTCTCTCAATCTCCCATAATGGGAAAAGTTATTGTAGTGAGGTATGTAAGCAAGCCGCTAATAATGGTAATAATGAATACACCTGCCAAAAATGTCAGGGTAAATTTACTGACACTCCCACTATCAAAGATAGCAAAAAATATTGTAGCACTTGTGCCAAAACTATACCGGACAAAGATAAGGATGATTTGTCTCAAACTAAAATTAATGCTATCTCTGCTATCAATAGAGCTTTAAATGAAAACCCTTTGGTTTCAACTAGCGATTTGGATTCTAATTTTCAAACCTGAGAAACCAAAATTAATAAATTTAGCAAGGCAGAGGAAATTAATTCTTTTAAAGACCAGGTGCTAAGCAACATTAATAAAAAACGTACCCAAAAAAGAACTCGGGAAGAAATAAAAGAAGAAGTTAAAGAACTAAAAAACAAAACCGGTCCAGAATTATACGAAGGAGTTAAAAAATTAGAGAAGCGAAGTAAAACCAAAGGTTATGAAGAGTCAAAAACGGAAATTAACCAACTTATTGAAAAAGTTTGAAATGAAAACCAGAATACAATTAAAGAAGATATTAAAGAAATTATTGAAACTAAAATGACCGAATGTGGAGTAAAAGAAGATGAATTGGGTTCCGAAGAAAAATCCATTCTCGCTAAGATAAAAAATAAGGAACATAGCGATAAAGAACAATTTAAAACCGATAAAATTAGGTTAATTGAGTTTATTTATAATAAAGAAATTGACAAAAAAATTAAAGTGCTAGAAGCAGAAGTAGAGGCGGCTAACACCATCGAAAAGAAAAAAATTGCGAAAGATAAAATATTAGAAATATTGAAAGAAGATAATATTTATGTTGAGAAAAACAAAGCCAAGTTTGATAGTTTAATGGTTAAGTTAAATTCGAGCAGTGGTTTAAATAATGATAATTCCGGTTTGCCTTGAAAAACAATTATTTTATCTTTGTCGATTGGAATTGTAGTGGTGGTCGGAATAATCGGTTTAGTCTGAATGCTCCAAAAACGTCGTCAAACCCAAAAAGAGAAGTAGTTTGTAATAACAGTTAAAAAAAGTGTATTAAAATTTAATAAATAAAACTGTTGCTTGCTATAAATGTAAAATAACGAATATGAATTAAAAGCGTATATTACATTATTAGAGTTTTTTTATAGTAATTCAAAGTCTTAATTCACTATTTTCGGAGGGTTTGGAGAAAAATCAAACATAAATAATTATTGGTGCTGTAATATATTTAACTACATAGTATATGGGTTCTTATTTGGCACATGTGCCAGGAAGTTTAAAAAACTTTTTCCCACTTTCTTTTGTTCGCGGTAGAAAGAAAGTAAAAAATGACTGTTTTTTTTTCTTTTTGAGTGAACGTTCCTCAACAATTTTTTCTTCCAAAAAAAAGAGAAAAAAAATATTCTAATTGGATTTACCAAAAATTTTATTAAAAGCATATTATATAAATTAAAACGAATTATGAATAATCGAAATATAATCAAAAAAAATCAATACAGAGGATTAAAAAATTTACAACGAACGCTAGATAATTTTTTCAATGATACTTGATGACCAACCTCAGGATTAAACGAAGTCTGAGAAGAATTTCAACCTCGAAGCGAATTTCATGAGGATAAAGACAATTACTTTATTGAAACTGAATTACCAGGGGTTAAAAAAGAAGATATTAAAATTGATTTGGAGGAAAACATTTTAAGGATTCATGGAGAAAGGAAAGAGAAAAAAGATAAGGAAAACACTAAACAACATTATTCGGAAGTGTTTTATGGCTCTTTTACACGGGAATTCATTTTACCTACTTCGACCGAAAAAGAAGCAATTAAGGCTCATTATGAGAACGGCATTTTATCAATAACTGTTCCAAAATCGGCCAAAAGCAAAGCCCGAACGATTAAAATCGAGTAAAATAATATATTATGGCAGTTCCGTTTCGCAGAAAGTCTTCCACCCGAATAAGAAAAGGGCGTGGTCCAAGTACTTGAAAATTCACCAAACAATTTTCTAATCAGCCCCTTGTCGAATGCTCCACTTGTCAACAAAAAAAAATGCTTCATCATATTTGTTCACACTGTTTAACTTACAAGAAATTAGATTTTAAAAAAGTTAGTTTAAACAAGGAGAAAAAAGAAGAAAAATCTCACTAGCATTTGATTTTGAATGAAAAAGGTCTATTAATATTCGGATTTTTTCATAAATTTTTTCGGAGAGGTGTTTTTGTGTCATACATATATAAAATAAATAATGAGGGAGTTGGTCGGCGGCAAACTTACTTGCCTTGAACTTTTTTCTAAAAAACAAAGTTAGACCGACCCCTCTATAATAAATAAAAAAAATTACTATATAGGTAGGTTCAGCCTCCTATATGAATAGAAGATAAAAACTTATGATTAACAAAATGGTAAAACAAATTGTCAAAATAAGAAAATATCTAATCTATAATCGGAGTACTTTTATCTTGTCTCCGAACTGGGGAATTTAAAACTTCCCCAGCCTAATATTTAGTCTAGATAGAAGTTAAATATTAGGTTTGATTATCCTCTCTAATCTTTCTATTACTTCTTTTTTTTGTCTAGAAACCGGACTACTACACTGCCATCCACTCTCTCTTTAATTTCTTGGGTTGATTGTTGGTGCTGATTTAATTGCTTTTCTTGCTGGGCTAATAAATTGATTTCTTTTTCTAACCTAACAAAAGGTTTTATTCTTTCGGCTAAATCGGAAAAAGTAGCCGTGGGTAAGTTTAATAATTCTTTTAAATAGGTATAATAACCTGAGTGAAATTTAAACTGTTTTTATTATTAGTTCGGTTTTCCTTGGTGGCGATAATTTTCGAAAAGAGGTTTATCAATCAATATCTTTTAAAGAAATTATTGTCTCTTTTTTTATATCTTCTATTTTTAATGCCTGCTGAATCTGAAAAGTTCCGGAACCGATTCTCCTTAATTCTTTGACAGTGGCAAGAGTTCCCATTTTTTCGGCTATATCTTTTATTAGACTACGGATATAGGTTCCTTTACTACATTCTACCCTTATATCTATTTGGTTTTCTGCTTCTTTATAACCTACTAATTTTATTGATTTTATTGCTACTTGGCGAAGGGGAATGGCAACCGTTAATCCTTGTCGAGCATATTGGTAGAGTTTTTTTCCTTTTATTTTTACCGCCGAATAAAGAGGTGGTTTTTGTCAATAAGTATAATTATTAAAAAAATCAATAACTTCTTGAACTTTTTTTGCTTCAAATTTCCTTTCCTTTTCACTTTTGACTATTTTTCCGGTTATGTCGCCGGTGTCAGTTTCCAAAAATAATTTCATGGTTGTTTCGTAAATTTTAAATTGGCTAATTAACTGATTGCTTAATTTAGTGGCTTTACCTATCATAATCACCAATAATCCAGTCGCCAAAGGGTCCAAGGTTCCCGCATGTCCTACCTTTCGAATATTCAATTTTTTTCGAATAATTTCAATAACCTTGTGGGAAGTAATCCCGCTTGGTTTGTCAACTAAAATTATACCATCCATATCAAATATTTAACTAAAAATTATTAATAAGTGGATCTTTAGCTCAATGGTTAGAGCGCCCGGCTCATAATCGGGGGGTTGGAGGTTCAAGTCCTCTAAGATCCACCATTGCTGGTAAAGATATTTAAAAGGCAAAGGAAAAAGAAATGGAATAAAAATATTTAATAGAGAAATAGAAAGGGTCCGTAGTCTCAGTTGGTAGAGCGCCTGTTTTGCACACAGGAGGCCATCGGTTCGATCCCGATCGGATCCACCAAATCTGCAAAAAAGATTAACCGTTATGAAGTTTAAATTGTAATATTGATAAATTTATTTATGTTTATGGGCGAAATGAAAATAAATATCTAAATAGTATAAAAAATACTTAATTATTAAGTAGTGATTGTGAAAAAAATAATTAATTTTGTTTACTTGTAGTTATAAAATTAATATTAATATGAAAAAGTTAACCAAAAGACAAAAAACTATTCTGTTAATTAGTGGAGGGGTA